GGCGAGGGTGCGCTGCCTCTCTGTATTGTGCGGCGAAAATCACAGGAGGGGGTTTGGGAGGAGACGGTGGGGCCGCCGACGCGTGGGGTGGGGGTGGGGGTGTTGGGACTGCTGTGCGTGTGCGTTTGGTAGAAGGGAGGGTCCGTAAGGTTGTTGACGGGGCTTGAGGGAGACTCTTTTTTCTACGGTGCACTGCATCCAGCACAATGGGAGGCCGGGGACGACGCGTGTGTGCACGTGCCCGTCCCTGCCCGACACGCGGCGAACGCTGCCAACCCCCGACCAACCGCCGACTGACGGCCGCCATACGCGCCCGCCAATCCCCGACCAACCGCCGCCAACCGACCGCTCGAGTCCCCTGCCGATTGTTGCCGGCCGCCGACCAACCACCAACCGCCCGGCCGCAGGGCGAGGTCCTGGGCATCACCCGCTTCGGCATTGCCAAGATGAAGGACAGCGTGCTGCACACCGCGTCCTTCGAGAAGACGGCCGACCACCTCTTCGACGCGGCCATCCACGGCCGCACCGACGACGTCGTGGGCGTCAGTGAGTCCATCATCATGGGCATCCCCATGCCCACGGGGACGGGCCTGCTGAAGCTGCTGCACGACGTCGGGAGGGTCGACCTGCCGGCCGCGCGGGGGGCGCCGCTGCTGGCGTACTGAGCGCGGGGAGGGGCGGGGGCGCGCCGAAGCGGGCGCGGGCTCGGCGCATGGGGGGTGTTCTGGCTGGTTGAGGAGCAGCGCCTGCGGCCCGGCGACCCAGGGTGGCGGCGGGCCTGGGCGGGCCGGCGCCGGCGGGCCCTTTGGGCGGTCACAGGGCGGTCACAGGGGGTTCGATGGATCTTGAGCAGCGGCGCAGCGGCGTTTTGAGGCGGTTTCGGCCTCGTTTGATGTGCATCGTGTACGTGTTGTCTGTTTTGTCCCTGGTGCGAGCGTTTGGGTTTCCCCGTGTGCCGCGTGTTTGCTCAGATTTCACTTCGTCGTCAGCTTTTGCTTTGCATCTCATGCGCCGCATCCAGCAGCAGTTGGAGGGTACCGCGCCGCTTCGGCAGGGCATCGCGCACTGCACCGCAGGCTTTAGGCAGAGCACAAGAAATGCTGGCGGGGTGCCATCTGCCCCACACCGCCCTTCGCAACTTAGAACCGCCCAACGTGACATGCTTTTTTGACCATGGGTGGACTGTTGCTAGTGATGAGTCAGCCATGACCAAGCTGGCACACACCCCGAGTAATCTGAACAGATGTATCATCGGGATGCGCAGCCTCGTTGCACGGGTGGGCCTTGGGTGTGCGTGCTCGCTGAGAGACAAGAAAGCTTCAATGGGCAGAGTGCTTCTTGGCTGCGTGGTCTGGCTTGCCCGCTTGCACAGATCAGCAAAATCGGCCATACTGACGCCCCCATCCTGGGCAAATTGCATGCTGTTTTGGGGCAGGAGGCTAATGCATGACGCTGCCATGTCTATCCAGGTACGGGTCAAATGGGGAGAAAGACATGGCTGAGTGTGGTTTTCTGATCCAAAAACCCGTGGCAGTATTGACCAGAAGCCAGGCCAACAGCTCGCGTGGCCGGCTTGGCGGCGGACCCCTATGGGATAGACAATTAAGGCATAAGAACAGGCCCGTGGCGCCGTCAGCGAAAACACCGATGACGTGCACTCTCTGTTGCGGCGTGCACAAGTGACGACTCAAACACGCCAGCGCTTTGAACGCCGGCTGCATTGGAAGAAGGAGCAGAATCCCTTGGTGAGGCCCCCCGCCTTACCTCGATGCCGCAGCAGAGCTGTACCAGGGACGTGTATGCCCCCTCTCCATGTCCTGATCAGGTTCCCTTGAAGGGATTTAAGGTTGTGACCTCCGCACTCCTGATCCCCACAACCACCTGCCAGGCAGCTGGCCCACCCTTGGTGGCGCCAGCACCCAACAGGCTCCCACGAGCACCGGCAGGCAACACAGCTGCGTTCTGTGCAGAGCACATACTAGCGGGTGCGCCGCCCTGGCCTTCGCCGCCGCAGAGCGCCACAGCTGCGTTCTGTGCAAAGCACATACTAACGGGTGTGCCGCTCTGCCGGCGGGGCGATGCAGCTGCGTCCTGTGCAGAGCACATACTAGCGGGTGCGCCGCCTTGGCCTGCGCCGCCGCGAAGCGCCACAGCTGCGTTCTGTGCAAAGCACATACTAGCGGGTGTGGCGCTCTGCCGGCGGGGCGATGCAGCTGCGTTCTGTGCAGAGCACATACTAGCGGGTGCGCCGCCTGGCCTGCGCCGCTGCAAAGCGCCACAGCTGCGTTCTGTGCAGAGCACATACTAGCGGGTGTGTCGCTCTGCCAGCGGGGCGATGCAGCTGCGTTCTGTGCAGAGCACATACTAGCGGGTGCGCCGCATCAGGCTGCCGCGACTGGGGCGTTGGGTGCAGTCAACGACCCAGGCGCGGCAAGGTGAAGACGTAGTCTGTAGTCGTGTAGGTGATGCCCGCTGTTGCTTGACGATCGTCGTTGCGTTGATGAGATCAAGATGAGAGAGCTCGGGCGATGATGATCGTATATGTATGTGTGTGTTTGTGATTGTGTATGATTGATTGAATATATATGAAAAGAGTGAGGGCTGCGCTTTTTGTAGGCGTGTCGCGGAATGGCGAGGGGCATACGTACGTTTCTGCTCGAAGGTCGCTTGGAAGGCCGCTTCGAAAGAACGCATGGATCCACATGACTGGTCTGGGTCTTGCCGTGGTGACTGGAAATCATGTGACAAGCACCTATGTTACTCTGGTACTGTGGTTGACCCAGGTTTGACCGGCGCGGCGCCGCTGCAGGCAGCGACGCTGCTTGCTGCAGTGCGCTGCGTCGCGCGCGCCCCACCCTGTCCATTAATTTTGCCATCCAGTTGGTGTACAGATGATGGCACAAGTTCAAAAATCGTCGTGGCGCACATTTTGTCCAAGGATTGCATCAGAGGGAAGGGAGGCCGTGGCGGCCCCTTGGGCGCAACACGGAGTTGCCGACGATCAACAGCAGATTTGCCGCGCTTGTCAGCGACCCTGCTCATAGCTGCTGCATCTAGGCCCTCCATACTGTATCGACCTAGTTTAGAATTCACGCAACCTGCCACCTTCACGGCTGGCTGATTGTCGGCCTGGCACATGCAGCACTACACCGCGTACTGTCAGTACCCCTCGAGAAGTTGGGGTCGCTGAGATGCTGTACAACTTTGGGCGTCTGCAGCAAACGTAGCAGGCTGTTTCAGCACGACGCGTCTGATCTGATTGCAGGCACGCAACAAAGCTGCTGCTGTGCCAGCTGTGTGGAGCACATAACTCGGCGTGTTTGTTGACCCCACGCCCCCCCCCCCC